GCTATTTTTGTAGACACACTTCCACTGCTAAAACCTGCAATCCAATGAGTCTTCTCTTGTACATCCGTCTCCCCATCTGCCACTTTGTGAGTGACCTTGATTCATTTTCTTTAGCTTATGTCTCTGGAATTATCTTGTGTATAGCAACACATCCTATTAGCACTTGCTTAGTTGCTCACTTGCCAGTTTGTGTCTGTGCTGTTCTTTCAACCCCCAACTATGCCCTGTTTCTCACACTTCCTGTAGGGCCTGGCTACGCCCTGTATCTCACACTTCCTGTAGGGTCTGGCTATGCCCTGTATGTCACACTTCCTGTAGGGCCTGGCTCATTTTCTACATCCAAAACAATCTTAAACAGAACCACTAGATTAAACACTAGCTTAAAAGCAAGCAACCAAAGTTCATTGTGGCATTTACCTCCTAGAGAATCTCAGGTAACCTCAAGAGGGGAAGATGGCTGCTTATTAAACATGAGACAAACGCCTGATTAACTTGGCGCTCTTGCCTGTGGTAATGAGCACCTTCTTGAATCTTCCAGGAAATTTTCTTTCCAACTGGTCTTCATCTCCACAGCCAATCAAAATATTCTTAGTTGTGCTAGGTTGTCAACACATTATGCTAGCTCCTTCCTCCTCTCTGTCCCTCAGAGGATTTGAAGTCTTCTGCCCTGATCATCAAGGAAGTGACAGCCATCATCCCCTCTTAATGACAAGCCATCAGAAGAGTGAGGTTGTTTAAGACTATTGTTTGTCAGAGGGAGGCAGCCTGGAAACATGGAAGTGTTTGGGGAGGGATGCTGTTTTTTCCTCTTTTCCCACACACTTCTTGCTTATGTAATGCTCTTTAGTCTGTTGCCCCTGGCCTCATCAAAAAGTCTCAGGATGTGGCCAAATCTGAGCCATTGACTGTCTTAGTTAGGATTTATATTGCTCTGAAATGACACCATGACCATGGCAATTCTTATAAAGGAAAACATTTCATTGGGGCTGACTTACAGTTCAGAGGTTTAGTCCACCATCATCATGGAAGGAAACATGGTGGCATTCAGGCAGACAAGGTGCTGGAGAAGGAACTGCGATTTCTACATATGGATCAGTGAGCAGGCGGCAAGAAGAGAGAGAGAGATTTGGCCTGGCTCGAGCTTCCGAACCCCCTCCCCAAACTCCCCTCAGTGACACACTTTCTCTAGTTAGGCCACACCTACTCCAACCAGACCCTATGTCCTAATCTTTTCAAATAATGCCACTGCTCTGCTGCCCAGCAGGGAGCCAGAGCTAAATTCATGACGAGTGGAGCACTATCTGACCTTGCTTGTGTTAGAGCTAGAATTGTATGAGCAAAAGCTACAGTCATGTGTTCCTATTCTGCTTCTGGTCCATAAACAATTAATGTATCTGTGGAAACATCTTTTGATATTTTATGGTTGATGTTTTACCTTATCTGTCATG